GAGAGTGACTCTGACAACGAGAGGGAACCCGGCGTTTTCGATGGATTACCGGTAGTTGCACAATTGTTCAATTCTGATACAGAAGTTGAGGACTTTGATGGATTTCTGGGTGATGATTGATCAAAAAACGTGAGTACATTGTAAGCTGGCTAAATAAAATGCAACCGAACTCAGTTTTGCTTCCGTTGCCTTTTTAAAAACGTGTTTTTAGCGTGTATCCGTATGTCTTAGCATGCTACCGTATGCTTCAAGCTAACGTGTTTTTAGCGTGCGTGCACGCATGCCGTATGTTTAAGCTGGCGTATGTTTTACCACTGTAAAACTGCGCCCAGTAATACAGTGCGTTTTGTCTATGTGTAAAATACCAAAATAGCACCCGTTAGTGAGACTGCGCCCAACAATACGGTGCGCCGAATGGTCGTGAAAATACGGTAATTGGGGCCAGCTTAAGCACCATTTTCAAGTACCACAGCTAGAGGTAGAGGTAATTTCTGTGGTGGAAAAAGAAAGAACTGGTGGTAACCTGAGCACAAGCGGAAGGTGGAAAAGGGCCATATATGAGTGACTACATTGGAACACGTTTTTCCTTGCCCAGACAGAGCCAGATGGGGCTCGATGGCGAGTGCCTGGTGGCTGGGCTTACACCCATGGGGCCCGGCTGGGCTCAGCTCAAAAAGACAACGTGGGTCCTCCTTCCCATGGGCTCAGCACAGCAGTTCAGACTTGACACACAGTCGTGAGTCTGGTACCAGTTCTCGCGAGAGGGATTGGACTGTCTGACATATTATCAAATATGTGGCTACATGTTTTGGACTCCTCTCTTCGGGTGTCAACTTATCACCACCTGGGGTGAGTTGGCCGAGATGCTGGGGGGAACATACCGGTCCAACCTGGCAGACCCAAACGTATCATGAGGGTTTACTGGGATCATTTGGCAGAAGCCTCTGTTAGAAAGTGTTTCAACTTCCACCTCTGGAAGAGCTTCGTCCACGTCCCAGGGGCGGTGAAGGTCATTGAGTCCAAGTGGACCGAGTGGACCATGTTCCATGCCTCTTTTGTTGAGGCGGCTGATTGGACTCGCTGTCAGGTGGTTGGTGCTGTTGTTGTGGCAACCCCTGAGCTCGCTTGTGGACAAGCTGAAGAAGGAATCCTATCAGGCCTCTTGGGCCTCAGAGACTCCAGAACAGATGATGGGTACCAGCTGGCCAAGCGGAACACAGCTTCGAGGCAAAAACTCGGGTGTGGGAGGAGTTCGGCAAGACCATGGAAACCGACTTCCAGACAGCTTTGAGGAAATTCTGGCCCACCATCCAATGTCTCAGGAGGGGGAAGCAGTGCACCATTAGTACTGTGTATAGTGGGGATGGGGCACTGCTGACCTTGACTCGGGACGTTGTGTGTCAGTGGACAGAATACTTTGAAGACCTCCTCAACTCCATGAACACACCTTCCTTAGAGAAGCACAGTCTGGGCACTCTAAGGTGGGCCCTCCTTTCTCTGGGGTTGAAGTCACCGAGGTCATTAAAATGTTCCTTGGCGGCAAAGCGCGGTGTTCGTCAAGGCTCTGGATGGTGTGGGGCTGTCCTGGTTGACATGTCTCTGCAACATTGCATGGTCATTGGGGACAGTGCCTCTGGATTGGCAGACCAGGGTGGTGGTCCTTCTTTTTATGAAGGGGAAGTGAAAGTTAATTGGTTGGGCTCGGGCCGGGTCGGGCTTTAATACCCGCGGGCCGGGTCGGGTCGGGCTGGAGTTTTTAGGCCCGATCTTACCTCTAACTTACCACACCGAAAAGAAAATGTCCTGAACTGAAGAAGTCGTGACAAAAACAGAATTAAATCGAAACCCATTTTGCTTGCACCTCTGCTGGAGAAATTGGTGGTAGGCTTGCAAAGTGAGGTCTCTCTGAGGTACCGTCGTGCACATACTTTAAAATACATACATTTTGAACTTGGGTCGTTGCATTCTCACTTCACCACTTGATGGCAAGTGCATTTTACACACCGTACCTTAAATAATACAAACTATACACTAATGATGTTAATATAAGAGCACCTGACTGCTGGTCCTATATGCTGCCATTTACATATGATCTGATTACTCGACTAATTGCAATTGCTATCTGTGACTAGTGGTGCCTGTTGGACCAGTGGTTAGCGCGTCGACCTCACAGTGCAGAGGTGCAGGGTTCGATTACGGCTCCAGCCTCCCTGTGTGGAGTTTGCATGTTCTCTTCGTGCCTGCGTGGGTTTTCTCCGGGTACTCCGGTTTCCTCCCACATTCCAAAAACATGCAGGGCAGGCTGATTGAACACTCTAAATTGTCCCTAGGTGTGAGTGTGAATGCGGATGGTTGTTTGTCTCTGTGTGCCCTGCGATTGGCTGGCGATTGGTTGTCCCCCACCTACTGCCCGAAGATAGCTGGGGTAGGCTCCAGCACCTCCCCACGACCCTTGTGAGGATAAAGCAGATCAGAAAATGGATGGATGGATCTGTGACTAGGGGACAAGCAAACTAATATCTTGTGGCACGGCTAGTTGAGAATTTTTATTGCAAAGCCTACATAACCTTGGTTAGTGATCAACATTAAGATATGTGATTTACCTGACTGTTGTGACTGGGCCCTTGATGTTGCTAGTTGCTTTGGCCTTTATTTGGTCACAAAGGGTTGGGCACTGCCTGATGTTTTGCTGCATGTAAGCCTGAATTACTCAGTTACACATCCGAACATTTAGCCTTCCATGCCTTGCTGCATCCAAATCTGCTCTCTATTTTTTACTTTGAATTTTGAGACTTTACTTTGCCACTTTCATCTCCTGTCTGTTTCTGGGTCCAAATACTCTTCCTTGCATTAGATTGACATGCATAAAATCTGCCAGGGAATGCAGAAGTGTGTGTGTGTGTGTGTGTGTGTGTGTGTGTGTGTGTGTGTCCTCCCAACTGGACCTCCTGCCACCCCCTCGCCACCCCAGTTAAAACTGTCTAGAACCGTTAGTGGATGTATGCACACATTTTCAATTAATTCAAAAAAATAACAAAAATAAATGAATGTATGCTTTGAAAGAACCCATGTGGGTTATTTTGAGAAGAAAAAAAAACAAGAAGTGGTCACATGATTAACAAACATTCCTTCTTGTCAAAACATCGCAGTCTGGAATGTCGTTGAGCTTGTCTGAATTTCAGTCCTCTCAGAGTACATTCCTCCCACCTGTCACACCTCTGACACACACAAAAAAAAGCTTATTTTTTACAGCTTTTTCAAGTTAACAAAACAGCAAACAACAAATTTAAAACAAAATAATCAAAATGTCAAATTTGTGTCAAATTGTGGTGCCATTGGGATACTCAGGTTTGGAAGGGTCCTTTAATACTTTTTTTACATTACTGTTTAAAATAACAAATCCTTCCTTAGCCTGTAGCTAGATTACTCAAGCTCCATCCATTATTTTCACTGGATTGATTGGTGGTGTAAAAATGTTGTGTTTGGTTTTGTATTATCACATCATGCTTTGGATTTTGACTGCAGGCGTTAACCAACAAACTCAAATAATGGCCAAAGATTTTTTTTTTCCCCTGAGTCAAAGCTAACGCAAGTTGGTCAGGCTATACGTGATAATACTGTTGAATTCTAAACAAATTATATTTTTTATTAAAGACATAAGATATCCATCCATTATCCTCGATGCTTGGCCTCTCGAGTGTGCTGGAGCCTATCCCGGCTGACTTCGGGCATTGTTTGCAACTGTTTAAGTGTCAACCAAGATAGCATTTAGCTGCCAACCCAAGCACTGTCAGTCACTGACTGGCTAAGTGTAATCTGTTTTCTACGGAGGACGAGCACTCCTCCTCTCGTCTGCTTGAAGCAAAGTGAAGTCACTCCCTGCCGCACATATGGCAAGCCATTTGACCATTTATTCCACATCCCTGATATCAGACATTAGTGTGTGACACTAGTTCGGTCTTTTTCAGTACTAGTTGGACACTCAGCCACAGTAGCGATGCATTTTGTCGTAGTAGTTGCATACAAACTCTGACTAGTTATTCATTTTCAGCAATATGTTAACTTGTCAATCATGGATTCTTCTAACATGTTAACTAGTGAACCTTGATTTCCTGCACTAGTTAACTAGTGAGAGCTGAAATACTCACTAGTTTACTAGTGGCGGATAAAACAGTGGCTAGTTTAATAGTTTAAGCCCTTTGAAGCCTTGATATCTAACTAGTGATTGTCAAAAATGTTATTTGTTCACTGGTGATGCCCCAAATATACACTAGTTACACTAGTGCGACATTTTAACTTAACTAGTTCTACTAGTGAGGTCTAAAATGTTCACTAGTAGAACTAGTGGATGCCAACCTGCCACTAGTCAGAGAGTAAATCCCTACATGTAGATTTTTGTTGCACTCGTGCACAGCTGCTCACTAGTGCTGCATAAACATACACAAGTGAAAAGAAAAGCCCAACATGTAGGAAAAATGTCACATGTGTTCAGTCAAATCTTGCACCAGTTAATTTCTTGTTCTGACTAGTGAGACAAAATGCCTCCCACTAGTTAACTAGTTTAATAAACATGAGTGCCTCTCGTTAACTAGTGACTCACTCTGGACTCAACTAGTTTACTAGAAAGAAAACGTGTTTCACTCGTTATCAAGTGAGGTCGAAATGAGACCGACTAGTGTAACTAGTGGATATTGTTGTATTTACAAGTTAACTAGTTAACATTTTGAACCTCACTAGTCAGCTAGTAAGGTTGGGAAGATCCAACTAGTGTAACTAGTGGACATAATATGCCTTACCAGTGAGCTAGTGGTCAGTTTTTAAACTGACAAGTTAACTGCTAAGGCCAGAACACCTTAACTGGTGTACCCAGTGGCCATTTGGCTCTTACTAGTGAACATGTGAACTGTAACATGTGATCATTCATGTTGTAGTGACTTCTATGTACATAATTCACCACCAACTGCAAATGTGTGAATGCAATGTTCATATGCTTGTCAGAGAGTTCACGATTATTTGGTAACGGGGTAGAAATAATTGCAGTCCCTTTAAGGACCGCCATTTTAGTCTGCTTGTTTCTATGGAAACTTACTTTCGGCGGGCTTCGTTTGGCGCGAGTGTTTTTTTTTGTGGTGCAAATAAAAAAACACGACACTCTCTCTCGGAGTGCGCACGTGAGAAATTGTCGCTTTCTTCGAGTTCTACAATTTCCACACTGTCTCAATTGCAACTCAAACACCAACATGTTCACAAGTGGACTGCATGCAAATGAAGGATTTTGATTGGTCAATATTCAGACAATAAATATTCAGTCTTAAAGCTTTAACCCTTAAGAGCCCGCTCATAATACCTGAAAAAGAAAGTGATTTTATAAAACCAATTCATACTTTTGATTAATGTTAATTTCTCCCTCTCTCATACAGTGAGGTACAAAAGTGGGGACACAGTTACAGTGAAACTCCTCTAGAACGAAACCTACATGGGCGAAAATACCCCCTTATGTGAAAAAATCTTCATGCATTAACACAATTCCCATTCTCCTGCCCCCCATACGACGAAAAACCCCCTGTTGCGTTATACGAAATCATTTTGTCTGCTCCAGCCTCGCGAAGACATTCACTACAACGAAGTCTTATCCAACAGCGACCTCTACTGCTTCGTTCAAAAAAAGGAAACAGCAACCACCACACTGGTTTACATAGTGAACGATGTTTATTTCGGTCACAGCTGCGAGTTTCCTGGACCCAACATACTCATAGCTGCTCTGCCATTGGCTTGCCGAGCATCATCTTGGCCTCCGATTGGCCAAGAGGGACCTCACTGTCTATGTGTGGTTTTTAGCCTTCGAAAGCTAACTGTGGCCATTTAGAACTACGAGGTGTAGCTGGTTTAAAAGTTCATTGCATGAACATCAGCTGAGCAACGCTGTCTTGGGTTAGGGTTAGGTAGAGACAGTGAGATGGTGGAAAGAAAAGCCACCGGGTCCAGAAGTATTTGTTATTGTTAGATTCAGACGAGCGTGGACGTTATAATGCTAAAATGGCTACAAAAGGACCTTTGGATGTCAAGCAGCTAAGACAAGAAGAGCTCTGATGCTGGAAGAGAGGTTAAAAGTGATCAAAATGAAAGACGGAGCAAGCAAAATAAATGACATGATCCAAGAAATTGATGTAAGTGAAAGTGAATGCTGATTGTAAATTTCGCAATTTCTTTACCTTTTTTTCTTTCTACACTGACAATATGAAGTGTCAAATAAGTGTATGCTCATACTTATGCACTATTGGAATAAAAATAGAGTACACATACGTTTGTGTGCGTGTACACATATGTTTGTGTGGGTGGGTGTGTGTGTGCTTACATCTGAGACCAAATTTGCTACAGTGAAAAACCCCCTGTTGTGAAAAATTTCTTGCCGCAAACACGATTTCGTTGTAGAGGAGTTTCACTGTACCCCCTCCAGCCCGCCCTGACAGCACTGGGTAGCTCCTTCAGCCAGAGACTGTGAGACCCTCGCTGCAAGAAGGAGAGATACCGCCGCTCGTTCCTACTGACTGCTGTCAGGCTGCTGAATAAACATGCGTGAAAACCTGTAACCATTGTAAATAGCACAGCCACCTTATGCTTCATATATGCAGTTGCATATATGCTTATATCTATATCTTATATTTAAATTGCATTCTAGACTGTGTACAGTTGTTTTTCTGAAACATTGATTTATTTTGTGCATGCAACACTGTTTTTTCTTTTCTACCCCCCCCTTTTTCCCCCCCCCCCCCCCCCCAAACCTCAATTTTGCTGCTGGAGACTGCAAATTTCCCCAGTGTGGGACAAATAAAGGTTATCTTATCTTATCTTAAAAAATAGAAAACACACAATACTTATTGTGTATTAACATGAAGTTAAATATTACATTCAAAATACATTCATCATATATGTCACTAATCACTAATTTCACCGATGTGATACTACAGTTGATAAACACTTGAGTGTGCACTTGAGTGTGCAGATGGATAATGACCAGTGGGTGTGTCATGACTGTGTTCTGTCTGTCTCCAGCAGGTGGCATTGGAGGGTCGTCCCCTCCCGTTCCACACCTGGTGCGAAAACTGTAATGTCATCTACTCTCATCTGTTATAAGGTACTATAACTAGAGATGAAAGTGGACTTTCTTGAAAAAAAAAAAATATATATATATATATACATATAAATCCTCGTCTCACCCCTCGGGTGGTGTCCCTCATTCAGCTCGGGTCCTCTATCTACCAGAGGCCAGGAAGCTTGAGGGTTCTGCGCAGTATCCTTGCTGTTCCCAGCACTGCACATTTCTGGACTGAGATGTCCGATGTTGTTCCCGGGATCTGTTGCAACCACTCATCTAGTTTGGG